TTGGAAGGCTGGTACCATAATTTATTATTTGAATTTTTGGACTTAAGAAATGAGTTGGACAGTAATGATTTCATTACAATGGGACAGTTTGAATTTACTTATGCATATAGACTGTATCCATGGTGGTGACTTAGAAACAGTTTTATGGAATTATTTGTGTTACAAATGGAACTGCTAAAATGGAGAAAAATTATTATTATTATTATTAATATTGTTATTATTTATTATTAATTTTACCTAGGCTCAAGATTCAGTTTTGTGTATGCACATATGCTTTACTAACTGGGGTGATTCATGAATTGTTTTTTGTTAAAATGGAACTGTTTTGGTAAAAATGAAATTGGTTAAAAATGGAGAAGTTTGAGTTTTTTTCTTTTTTCTAAAAAACTATAAAGAAAAAGGGGAGTGTTAATATTCCTTAGTCTATTAAATTTCAAAACATTTTAGTGTTACCTGAGTGAATTAATGTTATGTTTTGTATAGCTCTATTAAGAAATTGTTTTTGTATGTAGGTTTATAAGAAAGTATTGATGAGTTTAGTGAGAATATTGCCTTTGAATGTATGTTTGTAGGAATTATAATGGTGTATAGTAATGTTCATGTTAGAATTATTATGTTAACCTATTGATATACTGCACCATGGTTTGTTGAAGTTAAGGAAGTATTTAAGTTTGATGTGAATACATCAGAAATTTCTCCTATGTTTTGTTATCAAGAAAATCAAATGGTTCTATTAAGAGTTTGTTTAAGGTGTAAGATTGAGAGAATTGTATCTATGTACAGCAATATTTATGTTAGAATTATGTTAACCTGTTAATGTCAATGATGACACTATGGGAGTTTTTAAGTCTGATACAGTTGCATCAGGAGTTTTTTTTTAATTTATTTATTTAAAGGGCTTGATGCAGCCTAAACTGCTGTAGTCATCTTAGACCCATTTCAAAAAAGAAATGCCATCTTTATCATCTTCTACTCCCATACTTGGAGGTATGACAGCTATGGAGATTCCTGTGAGCTCTCAATGGGTTTTTTATATATTAAGAAAGGGGGGACCTGTTGGAGCCCATTTTTAGGTTTCCTATTTTGACTTTACCCAGTAGGTCTGCATAGAGAGGATAATTAGACCATAGACTTGAGTGCAAGTATCTGAGATGGTGTGCACTTGGGTGTGGTGGTGGGAGGCATTTTGTTCCCCCCCCTTGGCATTCCTTTAAATACCCTAGTGCAGAAATAATCATCTCCTGATGGACTGGGATCCAGGCCCTATGAGGCTATCCTTCATTTCTCTCTGTTTCTCTTCCCTCTATCCTTCTAACTAATATTTCCTGTCTGCTCCTACTCAAGAGTACTCTGGGGGAAATGTGGGGGTGAGGGATGGCTCCCCACAGAGGGGCACTATTAGAAGGTATGGTTTTGTTGTTATGGGTGTGGCCATATTGGAGGAAGTGTGTCACTGTGGAGACAGGCTTTGAGTTCTCATACGTGCCCAATCAGTGAATCAGACCGCATCATGTTGTTTCTAAGTCAAGATGTAGTGACTCTCAGCTCCTGATCTAGCACCGTGTCTGCCTGCCTGTTGCCTTGCTTCTCACCCTGATGATAAAGAAGTAAACCTCTGAACTGTAAGAGAGCCACAAAAACTAAATGTTTTCCTTCATAAGTGTAATAGAAACCCTAACCAAGACAGAGAGAATTTAATATTACACAGTTATGAAGGAAAACAACACAAAATTCCTCAGTCAGTTAAAAATATTCACTGTATGCACTAAGTGAGTGATTCCACCATCATACATATGAAAACAACACATGACATGTGCTGGTCAAGAACACATCTCCATTCATGTTTACTGAAGCATAATTTAGAGTGCACACAATTAGAAATGACTTGATTGTCCTTCAACACATGAATGCAAGATATTGTATTATTTGATTTTTTTATGCAGAGAAAATATTTTTCTTTGGTTTTGAGATTGTAATACAATCATGCCTACTCTCACATCCATTTCCTCCCTCCAAATTTTCTCATACAGCCATTCATGGGCTCTTTGATTACCAGGAATTTTATCATCAGTTACTGTTGTTACATGCATCATGCATATATATATATATATATATATATATATATATATATGTATGTATATTCCTACATACATATAAGTACTATTCAACATTTCAAGAAAGGCAATCCTATTATTTTGAACATACAGATGAATACAGAGATTATGTTCAGGGACATGAGCTAGACACAAAAAAATCAAATGCTATCTGACCTCATTCAAAACTGAATCCTAAAGTCAATCCCCTGACCTTATTTTGGATGGTGACTGTGAGAGGCTGAATATCAGGGTGTTGAGGAATTGCTTGTCAAAGAACACATTTCAGTGACAAAAGAGGGGTAACTTAAAGAAAAACTTCAAGCTGTGTGCAGAACTACTACTACTGCTACTACTACTACTAAATATACAGTGTTGAATTGAAAAGTACTTTGTATATTTTTTAAGGATTCCAATAATCAAAATTTTGTAAGGTTATACATAAGAGACATCCATTTTTTAATTTATTGCATGATTTCTCCTTCCATTTATGTACTCAAATTCCCCAGTGTAGTCCTCATTGCTCCTTTGAAAATCCATGGCCTCTTTTTTTATAAATTGTTGCTACCTATCTAACTTATATACATATACAAAATTTGATTTGTCTTATACTATATAATAATTATCCATAATATATAACAGTATATCAATGGTATTTCTGATGAATAGCATTACAGGAGAGAGGAAGAAGTGTATAAATCAAGTATGATTCTATTTCACTGTGAATTTTTAAAAATGTAGAGGGGAAAGGATGTACCAGAGTCTACTAATAGCAGAACACAGAATACTGCTTGTGAATCTTAATATTTTGAATGGTTGAGGTGGGAAATTATCTGTACTTGTCTGGAATGTCCTTACTCCTTTCTCCATCTTCATAATTATTTCTACAAGGAGGAGAAAGGAGACCAGGAAGTCAAGATAGATACAAGTTCATTGTGCTTCTGAATGACAGACAATAGAAACTGTCATCACCACTTCACCCTCTTGTGAAATCATTGTATGGAATATTACAAGTGCATGCTTTGTGGAGGCCAGCTATTGCTTTTTCTCAGTGTTTATATGTTTTATCTGTGTCTTCTAAAACAGCAATCTAAATCAAACAATCTGGATTGACAACCTACAATTCTGTCTCTGGCTATGGCACTCTTCAAAGCCACTGTGGACCATTATGAAATCATAGAGGTGGGTGAAGAAGGAAAGAAACAAACATATTTTCCACCAGCATAGAGGATGCAGGTGCAGAGCCCCAGGACTAGGAGATCCCCAGAGCACATGTGTGAGAGGGGAATAGAATCAAGAAAAGCCAGCCCATTCAGGGCCACTCTAGTTACAGTTAGAGGAGAAGTTCAGCACTCTGTCTTACCCTCAGTTGTCTGGACTTTGCTTCTGTCTGTGCTTTTGTCTGGCATGAGAACCATAGACTATGTGCAGCCTGAGAGCCTGATGCAACATCAGGAGCCAGCTGTAGCATACAGAGTATTCTCTGACATTGTTGAGGTCTGAGCCTGTTCCATGACCTAAGTCAAATATCTCCTCCACAGCTCAGTCTAGTTGCAGGGCATTGTCTCTGTGTAGTGCAGACCCTGACATGTCCCTTCCTTTGCTTTGTCTCTTCCTACTCCTGCAGTCTTTGTTTACATTAGGTGAAATGGATCATCAGAGATGCTTTGATTACTGGAAGCCCAGCACCTACATGAAGGCTGACATAATCCTAGGTGCATTTGTCCCCATTTACATCACAATAGAAGGATTCTACAAAAGCCATATATTTTTTGAGATCAAACCGGATATATTGGATAATTTTCCGTAAGTAATTGTGTGACTGTGCTAAGGGTATTCTGGCTACACGACAGTGTGTGCTCCTCTGTGCACATTTAATTCCTTTGAGTATAATGAACTGTATACACAGAAATGTGAAACTCATTTGCAAACTTTTCTCCTTCATTATGAATCTTACAGACCTTTGCTTTCCTCTTGTTTATTTTTTAGTCAGGTAGAGATCAAAGAGGGAAAACAACTTTTGTGTCTGCCCATTCTGTGAGTCCACAGACAGTCTTACATTGTTTTCACACATTGAATCTAAAATGATAAGGAGAGGCTCCACCCTGTTCTCATATTTTTGAGAATCTAAATGCCTCCTGTCAGAATGTATCTTTCTTTCTACAGACCTGGATAGTTAGTGCTAAATCCCCATGTCCTTAGTACATGGTTTAGCATCTCCTCTCCCTAAGGTTCTTGCATTGGTCTCTTTAAAATATCTCAGAGTTTGGACACTGTGGTCATGTTTATTACTTATTAATTCCTTATTGATATTTTAATGCAGTGTTCTGAAATCACATCCTTCATGCCTGATAGTCTGTCTTCTGCTTAGTCAGTTCTCCTGGGGTCACTTTCCCCTGTGTTTTTATTGGAGCTTTTGTGTTTTTCATTTCAAACATTTCTATCTGTTCTCTCCCCTCGAAGAATCTCAGTTTCCATTTAGGATTTGACTTTCTTGGTACTGAGTCTTTGATATATATATATCATATATATATATATATATATATATATATATATATATATATATAAATTGCTGTTGTCCTTGTCCCTCAGCCTTTGTTTTCATGTACAGTGTTGCATCTCCTCTCAATGCCCAGTTGATTTTGCTTGCTTGTTTCTATGTTCTTTTAGGACATCATCCTTTTGCCTTTTGAACTACTCATCTGGCATTTGGTCTCTCTCAGTATCTTTGAGTTCATTTGTTGGTTTGTTATGATATTGTCGAGGCGTTATTTGGCCTTGCTTTTTCATATTTCCTACTTTTTTCTATTGTTGCTATTGTTGGTACCGTTCATTTGAAAATCAATTCTAGATGAAGATGGTCCTCTAATGAGAAGTATCTTCTTGAAGGTCCAATTCATGCACTGCTCTGTGAGCAGGAAACAATCTTCCAGGCCTGTATTCCTGGTAGTTGTGGTATTATGGAGTATGTGAAAAGAAAAATGCCAACATACATGCCTAATTTATTTATCACTTAAAGTTCTCTTAGGAATGCTTTTACAGGATGGAAAGACTGTATGTAGATCAGTATCATGCTACAGCAGGAGGCGGATTGAGTCCCAAGGCCAGGAGAAGGAGAGAGTCTATGTTCAGGGATAGGCAGTAGAGAGGAAATCTTGAATCGTTAACTGACAGGAGCTTTTTACGGGAGTCTGTTTGAGCTGTCATAGGTGGATTTACGTCACGACTTCCTGAAGCTTACATTAATTTTTTTAAGTTTACTCTCAGAGATAAAAGTTTTAGATATATTGTCATGAACACTGTAATCGGTGCTTAAATCCTCATTGTATAAAAGAACAAAACCAGTGTTTGTGTACAGCTGGTGTAGATTTGTACTTTATAGACTTAGTAAAAACTTGGAGACCCAAAGGATGGTTCTCAGTTACAAACATGAATACTTTTTCTTCTGGCCAAGTTTTATACTCTCTCTCTCTCATATACACACACATGACATGGATATTTTCAGTACAGTCAGCCAGCAGCACTTTACGCCTATGTTTAGTAAACTATTAAAGAAAATTAAAAATTTTGGCCTGTGACTATAATAATATTAGCCACTACTTTACCAAGGCTAGATTAATAGCTTATTAGAACTCCACATACTACTAACATAAAACTCTGAAACTTAGAAATCTTTAAGTCTTATGTTCACATACCTTAAGTCACTTCCTCAGACCTTTCCAACTTGTGTGTATGTAATATATCCCTTCCTAAGACCCTCAAACTTACATAAACTTTAATCCTTTTTTTTCCTCTCCCATCATTTACCAGAAGACATATATGGCTGATTAATAGGAAGAATGATTGAAAAGCAAGTTCTTTTAATGAATGAATAGTAAAAAGTTTTTTTTCTTTTTGCTGAGTAAGAGCATGATAGCTTCAGTTTGGTTTTCATTTAACCTAGTTTGTGAGGATATCTTTTTCAGTATGAAGCCTGTCAGCAAAATGACCCTGTCTGTGAGTCTGCCTTCTTCAGCAGATGACCTATTACTTAAAAATAAACAAGACATAATTTTCACATATTATGTGGACTGACCATGCAGCTGTAGCCTTGTTGAAAGGAGCTGGGTAGGTCTGCTTGCTTCTGCTAAACTTATAAAACAACAACTTGTTAGCACCACCATCAGAAATCAGAGAGACCAATTTGAGTAGGAAGTATATCAAAACTACCACTGTATCAGTTAAAATGACAGAGACTTACCTGATACCTAAGCATCCATCTGGAATTCTCCATGGTGTTCTCTATGACTCTGTTGGGAGCAGGGCTGTCACTTTTTGGGTGTCACACAAGACACTATTAAGACTTTGGTTGCCACACAGTGGAGCATCTACCTTCAAACACCAGACTCATGAGGTCTGAGAGATGTTTCTGTGAAGGAGGAACTAGGGAAAACTGACCTACCTTGGATGGGCAGAATAGGGCATCTAACTCAACAGTGTCCACATTTTCATGGGGACCTGGTGGTGGGTAAATTGTGTGCCAGGTATGAGCCCAGTTGTCCACATTAGCACAACTGAGGAAAGGTCAGATCTGTCTGAGCAGTGTGATGGACATCATCTAATTTATTAACTATACCTGATTTTAAACAAACTTTACTTATTTTCAGTTACTTGCTTCGTGCTTGTCCTTGATAGCATGTACAGAAGGCTATGGCTTGCCCCTCTGTAAATGAATTACATTTATACTTAGCATTGCCAAAACCACAATTCGGATCACAGTAAAAAGTTTGATCATTTATAAAGTAACTGACTGTTACTTAGATTCTAATGGCTCCCTTGGGGGAGGGGGTGAGAAGGCACAGCATCATCGGCACAGACACCAAGAGTCCATTGAAGGCAAATAACGAACTCTCTTATTCAATAAGAGGGAAGCCCTTATATACTCTCCTCCCAGTGCCTAGTGTGTGTGGTCATCCCTCATTGGCTTGGCATGATCAGGAACTTAGACAGGGACTGTTGCTAGGTCCTAGGCAGACTCTGCATGATCAGGAACTCTGACAGCTCAGGATCCCTGACACTGACCAGGAACTCTGATAGCTCCTGTTGCTGGGCCCTCAGGCAGACTCCAGGTTGGCTCCAGGTTGGCAGTACATTATGTGCATGCCTTTGCTCCTGGTCTGAGCCAATTTCCTCGACCCTATGGTCCTATCTAACTACAACTGACCATTAACATGCGTGTCTTAATGATCTTCTACAATTTATACCAAGTTCATAGTTTGTATAAGATTAGAATTTTACAGTTTTATCCCTATCTATCTGAACCTTAAAATTTTGAGTTGAATATTTAATTGAAGATCCTTTAGCATCAAAATAAAACCTAAAACCATAAATACAGTCCACATTGTACAGTTTAGCTTCTTTGTCAGGAATCAGATGTTCATAGGCATTTGGATTAATGTCAGGTCTTCAGTTTGATTCTGTTGGTCCACAGATCGTTTTTTTTTTTATGCCAATACAAAGCTGTTTTTATGACTATAGCTGTAGTGGAACTTGTGGTGAGGGATGGTGATGCCTCCAGAGGTTGCTTTATTATAGAGGTTTGTTTTATCTATCTTGGGTTTTTGTTTTTCCATATGAAGTTGAGTATTGTTCTTTCCAGGTATGGGAAAAATTGTGTTGGGATTTTGATGGAGACTGCATTCAATCAGTAGACTGCTTTTGGTAAGATTGTCCTTTTAACTATGTTAATCCTACCCATCAATGAGAGTGGGAGATCTTTCCATTTTCTGATATTGCCTTCAGTTTCTTTCTTCAAAGACTTGAAGTATTTGTGATACAGATCTTTCACTTGCTTAGTTAGAGTTGCCCCAAGGTATTTTATATTATTTGTGACTATGGTAAAGGGTGATGTTCTCTGATTTCTTTTTCAGCCCATTTATCATTTGCATGCAGGAGAGCTAAATTTTTATTGAGTTAATCTTGTATCCTGACACATTAATGAAAGTTTTTATCAGCTGCATAAGTTCCCTGGTAGAATTTTGGGGGTCACTTATGTATACTATCATATCGTCTACAAATAGAGAAAGTCTGACTTCTTCCTTTCCAATTTGTATTCCTTTGATCTCCCTTTTTGTCTTATTACTCTGGCTAGAACTTCAAGTGCTATATTGAATAGATATTGAGAGAGTAGACAGCCTTGTCTTGTTCTCATTTTAGTGAAATCGCTTTGAGTTTCTCTCCATTTAATTTGATGTTGGCTGTTGGCTTGCTGTAAATTGCCTTTATTATGTTTATGTATGTTCCTTGTATTACTGATCTCTCCAAGACCTTTACCATGAAGGGGTGTTGGATTTTGTCAAAGGCCTTTTCAGCATCTAATGAGATGATCATGTGAGTTTTTTTCTTTCAGTTTTTTTTATATGGTGTATTACATTGACAGATTTTCATGTGTTGAACAATCTTTGCATCTCTGAAATGAAGCCTACTTGATCATGGTGGATAATTTTTTGATGTGTTCTTGGATTTGGTTTGCCAATATTTTATTGAATATTTTTGCATCAATGTTCATGAGGGAGATTGATCTGTAACTCTCTTTCTTTGTTGCATCTTTGTGTGGCTTGGGAATCTGAGTAACTATAGCCTCACAAAAGGAGTTTTATAATATTCCATATGTTTCTATTGTGTGGAACAATTTGAAGAGTTTTGGTATTAAATGTTCTTTGAAAATCTAGTAGAACTCTGCATTGAAGCCATCTGGTCCTGTGCTTTTATTTATTTATTTATTTATTTATTTATTTATTTTTTTGGTTGGGAGACTTTTACTGATT